TGTTCTAGTTATGCTGGTCTAACAATGGTATTATCCCACAGAGATTTATAAAGTCCTGTCTTATATTACATCATCTTATGGTCGCAGCATTAGCCCATGTGTACATATGAAGGGAGTTGATGGGATATTAATTTTGACTTCTTTTGGCCACAGATGGCAACAAAACAAAAAAAGCACAAGGCTATGGGTGATGAGGAGTGGATGTCACGCCTGCGGAGATTCGCTGCTTCAGGGGTTTGGCCCTCTGATGCAGGAAACAGGCCTGCTCCCCGCCAGAAGAAGTGGAATGACCTCTATCTGAAGGTATAGTTGTATTAAGCAATTACAATACAGTCACACATGATAAAGCTAATAGAAACACTTGCTTATTTTTTGTCATGAAATATTACAGATTGACAAATGCCCGATGCAACGGAGGGGACAGGCATCTCTGTTTGGGGGGCCACAGACATGTGGCTGTGGTTTCCACACTAAGAAGGTATTTTTAAACTAACATCAAATTGTTGTGTGCACATTTTTTGTTGTTGTGTCGTTTGCTTGAAATGACTTCAAAAGTCTCTGTACATCTTTAGCCTTCCAGCTCAGTCCCTGACACCCCATTTCCCCGTACCACTGTTGGCACTGGTCAAGGGCAAGGCCCTTCAAGCGCTGCTGCTGCTGCTGCTGCTGCCTCCTCAGCATCAACATCTGCTGGACCTGTGCAGAGGCCTGCTTTGAATCTGGCTATGGTAAATCTTTATTCTGTTTGTGATTTTTACCCAATGACTCTTAACTACTGACTTCTATGTTTTACAGAATAAATAACATGATCATGCATCCTGTAAGATTACATTCATTTTCTTTCAGTTTACAAAACCACGGTTTGGCGGGTCGCATGGTGCTGCTTTGAAGCCAAATTTAACTGTGGCTAGGAAGCCTGCAAAGGTACAGTATGGTGACAGTCTAGGCATACATTTGATTTATAGTATTGCTTGTGACATAATTTCTCCTTGGTTAAATGCTTTATCATGTCTTATTATGACACAATGATTTATTATGCCTAGTAGTGATACATGATTTTGTAGATATTCATTAGCCTGTATTTCCTCCTGTTTCTCTCTCAGCCCCTTATTAGCACGTCCCCCAGTGCCACCACAAACGTCGACACTGCAACACCAACATCAGGGAGGACATCATCCCCTGCCCAGAGTCCCAGAAAACATATTAGGACCAGCTCCCCTTTCTCTCTTCCCCCCTCTCCTCTTTCATCAGCCTCAATAATCCCCCCAGCCACTGCTAAAGCTGTAAGAACCCTTTTCAATTGTGTTGTTCACAAATAATTTTTGTGTGCCAAACTTAACCTAAGCAGTTCAGTGATCAATGGTGTGTTCATGTGCTTAAATGCCTTATCATTGCCTGAAGCTATACTTCAAGTTTTAATCTTATATGCCCAATAATGATACACGATTTAGTTTATAACCTTGTATTTCCTCCTGTTTCTCTCTCAGCCCCTTATTAGCACATCGACCAGTACCACCACAAACTTTGGCACTGCAACACCAACATCAGGGAGGACATCATCCCCTGCCCAGAGTCCCAGAAAATATATTAGGACCAGCTCCCCTTTCTCTCTTCCCCCACTCCTGTGTCATCAGCCTCAATAATCCCCCAGCCACTGCCGCTGTAAGAATCCTATTGATAATTTTTTGTTGTTGTTGCCAAACATCAAACCCTAACCTAAGCAGTTCAGTGATTTATGATGTGTTAATGTTTTATTTGTGTGTGTCTTTCTGTACATAATTTGTTTATTATTAGGTTGTAACAGCTGCTCCCTCCAGTGCCTCCTCAGACCCTTCTGTCTGTGCCTCCTCTACCACTCCTGGTCCTGATCCTCTCAGCAATATGTCAGCGGAGGATGTGTTGGCTGCCCCTGGCCCTGACCTACCCTGGCTGCCAGTGAAGATGAGGATGACCATCCCCCTCCAGGACCAGAGATGGATCTCTGCAGCTCTGTGGAGAAACCAGCGGCTACGGACCGACCTGAAGCTGTGGTACGAGCCACCCGGGCCAGCGCTCATCTACCATCAGGCCCCCACTCCAGAGCGCTTTTTTAATCATCGCCTGCTTGTGTGGATGCCGTACCACTTGTGGAAGGTCAGGCTAACCTGTCCTGTGTGTGGGAAGCAGCTGGTGGGATACGGTGCCCACAAGAGAGCCCGTCAGGTCCTTGACGTGGACAGGTACTACCTGATGGTCACAGAGACCCTCAGGTGCAACAGCATTGGTTGCAAAACCAACTACCTGTCCAGCAGCAAGACCATCCTGGACCAGCTTGACCTGGCTCACCGGCTCGAATTCAGGCTCATCCTGACTCAGAAGTGAGTATAAAGACACCACTGTAACAAGCATGTACAAAAAAATGTTAATGAGAATACATATTATTGTGTTACATTGTTTATTTGAAAATTGTCTGTAATTGAAACAGACTGCTATAAGAGGTTGGACTGTCTTTTTGTGTTTGTCTAAATGTCTCTGTCTCTTCCCTTTCTTTTAATACAGATATGCTTGTGACATTCGGGTCATCCGCTTCCTGCGGGAGAGGACCCTGGGCAACAGCCCGTCTCGCTTGGTGAAGCAGCTGAGGGAGAACCACAGCGAGGAGTGGCTGCAGCGCCTCTGCCAGTACCTCGGGGCATGCTCTGACTTTGTGGGCCGGCCCAGCCTGTTCCCTGTGGTGTTTCAGGACCCGCCTGAGCCTGTGGCCATTCCCACCTATAAGTGGATGCTGGCGGTCTACGGGCGGGACATCTTAAGCAGGCTGGAGCACATCAAAGCCAGCATTACATCTACCTTTGGCTCCATCCTGAAGATGGACTCCACAAAGAAGGTACAATTCCTCATCACTGCTCTTATTCTCATGTCACAATTCTACAAAAACGTGTATCAAAGCATCACTCAAACTGACAAAATGACTAAAAAGGGATATTCTTCATCCCTAAGTCGCAATGTTAAAATGATTTTACCTGTAAAAGGCTGTTAAACTGTACTGAAAAAGAATGGTATACTTACAAAATGTAAATACATAAGTCAATACCAGACAAAATGATATGCTAGTTAGACCTAAGTCACTGAATGTTTCCTCTGTATACTTTCAGATCACCAGGAAGTTATCGGGCATTGCCAAGGGGACTGCCCTCTGGCTTTCCTCAGTTAGTAACGAGGTGGGTCAGATCTTGATCAGTGTCCTGACTGCTCAGGAAGGCTCTGGGCTGGACCTGATGGTGGCTGATCTCATCCGGAGGTACAGGGAAGCAGGTGTGGCTCCTCCAAAGCTCCTGTATGTGGACTGTGGATGCTGCAAGAAGGATGGGGAGGAGACCAAGCTTAAGGCACGATTTGGTGGCTGGCCAGACGTTGTGGTCAAGCTGGACATTTATCATTTCATGCGGCGGCTGGCATCAGGATGCACCAAGGATGCCCATCCCCTTTACCCCATCTTCATGGCTCGTCTGTCCTGCTGCATATTTGAGTGGGATGCAGGTGACGTTGCCTTGCTGCGCCGGGTCAAGAGGGAGCAGCTGAAACGGGAGGGGGTTCCTGGCATCACTGATAGCCTTGTGAACCAGAACATTAGGAAGAGTGAGTTGGTGCTCTACTGCAGAAGGAGGACAAGAGGAGAGAAGGAGACCATCTCAATGATTGACCTCCTTTTGCAAGAGCTTATGGGGGAGAAGGGCAGTGACTTCCTTGGTGTGCCACTCCTGGACAGGGATAGGATGGCGAACATCTGGGAACAGCAGAGGAAGCATGTAAAATGCATCCAGGATGAGCCAGGTGTTCCTCTCTACACAGAGACAGGATCATCCACCAAGGAGGGCATCGTCCTCACCACCTACAGGTGTGCCAGGGGCTCAACATCACTGGAGTCCTTCCACTGCCACCTGGCCAGGTTCATTCCAGGTCAGTTTCAATTAAGTATAACCTAGCTCTTTGACATAAAGTATTTAGCATAGAACATGTGTCACCTGACATTGTACAAATAGCTCATTGTATGAATTTAAAATATATGTTGTTTTTATTTTAAGGAACCAGTGCCAACAGTTTGAATTTTCAGCTGTACCTCCTGGAAGGCCTGAACAGGTGGAACCAGGACCGTGGTGCTGCGGCACTGGCTGTCAAACCTCCCTCACTCCTCACCTACTCAGGGGACCTTGTGCACTGTGTCAACACCTTCAGTGTCAAGGTGCTTGGAAGGAAACTTGCCCCCTCCTTCCAACCCCCTGCAGTGTATACTGGTGTGTGTCACTTTCCCATCATAATTAATGGTTTTATTTCATACCTTTTAGATATCATTATCATTACTGAGTGAGTTTTATAATAAAGTTTAACAGCTAACTCAGAGTACATATTTAAAAAGGCCATGCAACGGTTTTGTCTTTTGAAGAAGCTAACCTGCTTTTTTAAAAACTCAGAAGCTCTGTTGTGTTGTATGGTTCTGTTTAATTCAACCATGGTTAAGCCAAAAAACACATTTTCAGAAATGAGCAATGAGTATTCTCTTTTCGTTCCCAGGAGAGCTGATAGGTATTGACTACCTGTACCGCCAGACAGGAAGGGCAATGCAGAATGTTGACCCTGAAACAGAGGAGACGGAGCAACTGTTGGAGGATGTGGCTGTTGAGGAGCCAGAGGATGAGGGTTTTGATGATGGCGGACATGACCCCACATTTGACATTATTCTGCCTCAGCCAGTCTGGCCCCACAGCTCCCACCACCAGCATTACCTCTGCCCCTCCTGCTCTAACCACCAGCATGCCCTCTGGCCACCCAGCTCCCACCACCAGCATGACCTCTGGCTACCCAGCTCCCACCACCAGCATGACCTCTGGCTACCCAGCTCCCACCACCAGCATGACCTCTGGCCACCCAGCTCCCACCACCAGCATGACCTCTGGCCACCCAGCTCCCACCACCAGCATGACCTCTGGCCACCCAGCTCCCACCACCAGCATTACCTCTGCCCCTCCTCTAACCACCAGCATGCCCTCTGGCCACCCAGCTCCCACCACCAGCATGACCTCTGGCTACCCAGCTCCCACCACCAGCATGACCTCTGGCTACCCAGCTCCCACCACCAGCATGACCTCTGGCCACCCAGCTCCCACCACCAGCATGACCTCTGGCCACCCAGCTCCCACCACCAGCATGACCTCTGGCCACCCAGCTCCCACCACCAGCATGACCTCTGGCCACCCAGCTCCAACCACCACCATGCCCTCTGCCCCTCCTGCCCCCATCACCAGCATGCACTCTAGCCCCACAGATCCCACCACCACCATGCCCTCTGCCCCCCCAGCTCCCACTGTATCTGAGCAACTGTTGGTAAGTGTTTGTGTGATGTACTGCATCATTCTTTATCACATCTGTTTCTTAGTTTCCCTGCCAATATGAATATTTAGAATAATTATATTTTAATTTTGTTATATTTTCCAGGCTGTTGATGAGCATAACATGCCAGGGATGGACAGGGTGGACAGCCTGGCAGAGTACCTGGTTGGGCTGAGAAATGAGACGTCTCTCACTCTCAGCAACCAGCAGACCAGCACCATTTTGTCACTGTGGCAAAATCTTCTGCCATTTGACCAGCAGCGGGTGGTCTATGCAGCCAGGTACCAGGAGAGGCTGAAGACGGGGTACTTCAGGTCACCAAAAAATAAATTGGAATTCACCCCCGGTGCGGAGAGCATGAGGCGCTGCGTCCTGGGGTCAAGTGGATCACCGGCACAGTGGCCCGACTGTTGTCGGCTTGTGGAGGCCATCTTTGTCAGGCTCTGTCAGCTCCACAAGAGCCCAAAGAAAAAGGGAAAGGGCAGCCTGACAAGATGGTCTCTCATGCTGAAGGACTATCGGAAGGTTAGGCAGCTGGTGAGGGACAATGGAGCTCTAATGAAGGACACCACTCTCCAGCTGTATGAGGTCAACCAGACCACCCTCACACAGTGGCACAATCATAGAGTGAAGAGGCAGGATTTGGCAGTCCTTCTGCAGGGGGTCAACCTGCCTGCCCCTCTTCCTGTAGCCCCTGTGCCTCTGCCACCAGCTCTAGGGCGCCCCACCTTTGTCCCTCAGCAGTGTGGACCTCAGCATGTCTACAGCCTGCCCAAATCCACTGCAGGACAGGCACTTTTAAAAAGGAAGCATGCTGCGCCACACACTGCTGCTCCAGCCACTGTCCGGCCAAAGGTGCCCATTCAGAGGCAGTTATTTCCCCTGCCTGCACCTCTGCCTACAGCTGCTCCTGCCCTTGTAAACCCTACCCCTGCCCAAAGCCCCTTGTTGTTAATGTTGGCTGTCCCCTCTCCCAGGCCTATCGCCCCTGATGGACCTCTTCCCCCTCCACCCCCTTCCCAGAGGCCCTACAATCGTCAGGTGGAACATAATAAGTGCCGCAAATGCCATCAGCCCCGGAACAAAGACAGTGGCCACAGGCAATTTCATGGATACATTTATTGCCCCACTTTCGCAGGGATGCCACTGGAGCAGTGGCTGGAAGAAATGAGGAGGAAAAGGGCCGAGAATAAATGATGATTCATTGTTCTCCCCTTCTGTCTGCCCCGTCCTGTCTGTCTCTTCACATTTTAGTTTTTTAAAATGCTTACATGGCATTCAAATAAGGAGTGTGTACCGTCCCGTCCATGTAAACACGCTGTAGATACTGCTTGGAAAATCAACCACAGCTGGACTCGAGTGTCCCACTCATTGTAGACAGTCATGACTCACAGAGTCTGCTGCAGGTGTAAAATCTCAAGTTCAGAGATTCAGATTCAATCTACAGCATTAGTCTGTTTGAGGCTAGAGGCTAAAACGCCAAATATATCATTATTTTGTTTAAAGGAAATGTCCTAAAATGTGAAATGTGCCTTTTATTTAAATGTTTTTAGATTTTTTAATTGAAATATTTCAATAAATGTGTGTGCTTCTACTCCAATTCTTACATTTGACTTATTTCTTAGCAATTTGACACAGTAATATAAAAATTATATTACAATAATATTTGCTATTTTTTAGTAAGTAAAGTCTTATATCTAAAACAATTAGATGACTTATGTCAATACCACTTAACTTCTGAGAAGAAATGAAAAACAAACACAATATCACTTTCCTACACATTTTGAATGCTAAACAGAATCAAGTATTGTTTTCTTATTTAAAATTACTTTTTCATCTGAACAATCCAAAACACTTTGTGAAGTTTGTTTTGGTCCAGACAGGGTTCGAACCCCCGTCCTTCGGATCCAATCTTCCCCTATATGAAAACTAGAAATATTCATCATTTTGAGTAATTTCTAAAATTTTATGAAAACTAATGACTTGGAGTAACTTTTGACTTGCAGAAGGGCCATTAAGAGTTCTTCTTTCTTTCTCTTTTTTCTCTTTTTTCCTCTTTTTCCTCTCCTTTTCCTCCTTTTCCTCCTTCCCCCTTCTCCCCCTTCTTTCCTCTTTCTTCCCCCCCCATACAGA